CTCAGCACACCAGGCCTGGGGGCAGAGCCCGTGGCAGGGACTGGGGGTACAGATGCCCCCCGCCCTGTCCTCGCTCCCGTTCCCGGCCTCCCCCTGGCTCACCTGAGCCTTGACTCTGGTGACAGCGGTGTGATGGTGTAGGAGGCATGACTGCCCTAGTGCCCGACGTGACCGCTCCTCCTGGACATGGTCAGCAGAGACTGTGATGCGGGGAATGCCCGTTGGCGGACCACACGCCTGGTGACGGAGGGTGACTCCGGGACGCCATGTGGGTGGGGGGCAGGTGTGAACCCATCAGGGTCGAGCTGCCCCGAGCCAGGGCACGGCGGTACCTGCCAGCGGGTCGGGGAGGGGGCCGCCCCAGGCTGCGCCCAGCGGGTGCTTGGCAGGGGTGGCCTCGCCCTCCTCCCCCCGGCCCACTCGGCGAGCGTCATCGAGCACCTGCTCCAGGGACCCAGGGCACCAGGCACCCTCTCCATCCCTAGGATCAGGGGATCTGTGGTCAGCCAAACGGACATCTCTGGCCCAGAACCAGTGTTCCAGGTCACATCCGTGTGGGACACTGGTGCCGACCAGAAGAGCAGACAGACACCCGTGCCGCGGAAAATGCGCCTGGCGGAACACGCGGCACCGGGCGTCGCGGGCCACGAAAACCTATTTGTGGCAGAGAACTGGACCCCTCCCCGAGGGCGGGCCCGGCATTCCGAGGGCAGGGTCTGGAGGGGGCCTGTGCCAGGTGGGCATCGCGAGGTCCTCGTCGGGAGCCGAGGCCCGGGTGGTGGTCGGGGGTCCAGCCTGAGCCCCTCCTGGGCTTCCCCTTCCAGACTGAGCTCAGGCGTCCCTGCTGGGGACAGCAGAGCCAGCGCCCGTGGAGCCGGGGCAGGGTCAGCACACAGGGCGGGAGCCGCCGCGGAGACCTTCCTGGTGCCACCAGCACCCTGGGGACCCTCAGTTCCCTCAGTCAGGACCCCGCGGCATCCAGAAAGGTGCCTGCGGGGCGTGAAGCGGCCTGGGGGTCAGAGGGGGGCGAGGAGACAGTGCTGCCTGGAGCGCTCTGGGGAGCCAAAGGCAACCAGAAACCGCCCATGCCTGGTCCTTGCCGCCGAGAACCTTCCAGCAATCCCCGAGCCCTCAGCTGCCGGAGGAGGCCGCGACCAGATGGCGGCCGTGGGGATGTGGGGGGGAGCCCTTGCGGCGCTCAACCTCCGCGAGTCCCCTGTGGGGATGTTATTTTGTTTGGTTTGTGACTTTCTGCTTCCTTCTGAAAGGAAAGTGCTAGAAACAGTTCTGGCGAGGTCACAGTTTTTGCGAGTTTGGCTCAGAACAGAGACTTGAACGTACTGAGTTTGCGCCCGGAGAGCTCCTGGCCAGGTGGGCATGTCCTCGGCTTGGGTGCCAGGGGCCCTGCCCCTGCCCCTGCCCAGGACAGCGCCAGGGGCCTGCGGGCGCTCCTGCCCCTCGCTGCTCCGGGCATCCGGCTGGGGAAACGGGACCCCGCCCTCTCGCGCTTTCTTCCCGCTGGGGGCGGACTGCGGTCAGGCCGGGCACCATGTCCGAGAACATCCCACGTGTGTTTTTGCCGAACTGGTCCCACGGCCCCTTTCCCAAATCCCACCAGATGTTTCCTGGGAGAGACCTTGTTGCTCACGTAAACAGAGGAGCGCGCTTTCCCAGGCGGGCCGGCCACAGGCACCAGCTCCTTCGTCGTCGTTCACACAAATCTCCGTGGGACTCTGGAGAGTGGATTTCAGGTCTTTGTGGGTGGGTGAGCGGTGCCCAGAAATAGACCCGGGTCTGTGACACGGGAAGACAGCCTCCTGCTGCGTGTGGGCTGTTGACGGTCACTCATCCCCGCCCCGGGTGCCCCACGGGGTCAGCCTGTGTCCGTGAGTCACCGGGACCCGGGGCCCTGCGGCCTCTCAGATCTCGGTGCCCGCCGGGGCTTCCCCGGGCTTGCTGGCCAAGGGCGCCCGTGCACGTTAGCCGCATGGCCTCGGCCGCCCCGTGGCCAAGGGGAGGCGTTCCTGAGCAGAAGTAACAGAGTGACCTCTCCTGCCCGCCGGGGGGCTGGGTGGGGACGCCAGGGGCACCAGGGGCTGCCCTGAGGATGCAGCAAGTCTTACACTGCAGAGATTTGCAGATGGGGACACGGGCTCAGAGAGGTCGAATCACTCGCCAGAGACACACAGGGTTGGGCAGGGTGCTGACTCGGGCCACCCAACCTCGGGACCTTATCCGGTGCCTGCCGGACCCGCCGGCCCTGGAGGAGGATGGGGGCTCCGCTCCCCAGAGCCCCCTGCGCTGGGTGCGTCCACCTGGCACCTGCAAATGTGACTTTGCTTGGAAGAAAGGTCTTTGTGGATGGAGTTCAGGGTCTCTGGGCAAGACGACCCGGGATTTAGGGCAGGCCCTCCATCCAATGACAGGCGTCCTTAGAAGAGAAAGGAGGGGTTTGAAACGTAGAGACACACGGGTGAGGCCACGTGGTGGCGGAGGCGGAGGCTGGAGGGACGCCTGGAGCCCCCAGCGGCTGGAAGAGCCAGGCAGGACCTTCCCGCTCGAGCCTCCAGGCGGACTGTGGCCGTGAGGGCAGCTCAGTTTACACTTCCGGCCCCGGAACCGTGACCGAACGCATCTGCGTCGTTTTAAGCCGCGCAGTGCGTGTCGTGAGCCTGCACGGGGTCCCCAGCTCCAAGACGAGGACAGCAGTGAGGCCCGGCCCCACCCCCCAGGCTTGTGTTCAGGCTGAGTCCATGCACACCCGTGCGCCAAGCGGGTCTCAGCACCGTCACGGTCGTTCCTCCTGTGTCTGGCTTTCGTCCCCTCACTGGACGAGCACGTGTGGGGCGCGTGCGCCGTGCCCGTGGGCAGTGGGGCCGGCAGGCCAAGGCCCCTGAGCGGGACCGGCCCTCGTGCTGGGGCGGCGCAGAGGAGGCCTGTGCGGTGGCACTGAGGCCAGGGTCCCGGACAGGACGGCTCCCCTGGCCCCCGAGGGGAGTGGGGGCTCCGGCAGAGGAGGGGCGGGCTGGGATTCCGCCAGAGGGCATTTGCCCCCCTCTCTTGGGATGGGGAGGAAGCCCCAGTTGGAGCTCAGCGTCGGGGAGGGCCCCCTTCCCCGGGCCGGGTGCAGGTGGGGTCCGCCTGTCACTCTCTGTGCCAACCTGGAAGCTTTGCCTCCCGCCGCCCAGCTGCCCGCGTTCTCCTGGGTTCCTGTGAATTTCGGCTTCGCGGGCTGGTGTGCGGGTGTATTTGGCCCACGGAGGATATTCCTCTTAGCATCCCTCCCCACGTGACTTTGGCCCCATCGTTCCTCCCCCCAGACCTGCAACGAAGCCACGCGCTGTGCCCACTCCCGGGCTGGGGACGCGACACGGAGCCTGGGCCCCGAGTCTGGGTGCCAGGCTCACACGGGCAACGCCCTCCCTTCCACAGCCTGGGCCCCTTTTGCCAAGACTCCCGGTCGGTCCCCGTACACCTCAGGACCGTGGAAAGGAGAGCCAGGCGGGACCTCTGTCTGGGGCAGCCCGGCCTTCGAGCCCGGTGGGGGGGGGTCCCCCTCGAGGAGTCGGGTGGGCTGCGGGCCCCTCTGCCGTAGGCGCCTCTGGCTCACAGACAAGCCGTGTTTCTTCGCTTTTGGTCGCAGTGACGTCACCACCACGGGGCACGCTGGTTATCTCGGGGCGCTCGGAACGTCCGTTATGTTGCACGCACCTCGTATCACCTCCTTGGGGCTGTTGGAGCCACCAAGGGAATCGAGACCCAGAATTCAGGGGCTCGGAGATAGGTCGAGGGGTGTCGGAGGCTTCACGTGTCTCACCCGCGGGGGGGCAGTGGCCCAGGTGAGATCTCGGACGCGGCCGCCGCGGAGGATCTCCGCGGTGTGGGCGTCGCCGTGCTGCGCGGGGACCTCAGAGCCCGGCTTCCTTTAACGCCAGCTTGCAGCCTCTGACCCACCTCCCTTGGCAGCCAGCGGTCGATTCTCCGCTTCTGTGAAACCCGCCGTCGAAGATCCCGCGTGTCGGGGGTCCCACGGGGTGTTTTCTTTCTCCGCCTTGTCTCATGGCACAGGTCCGTCCGTGCTGTGGCAGATGGCGGGATTTCTGCCACGTCGTGGCCGGTGATCCTCCTTTGTGCGCACACACCGTGTCTTCTGCCCGCTCGTCCATCTTTGGACGCGGCGGTTCCGCTGTCTTGGCCGGCGTGAAGGGTGCTCGTGAGGGTGGGATGCACGTATCTTTCCAAGGTCCAGGCTTTTTCCCTCTGGGTATACAGCCGGGGCCGGGGGGCGGGGGGCGTTGAGGCACCGTGTGCTGCTTTCATTCTGGGGAGAGGCGGGGCCGTGACTCTACTCCCCAAGCCCCGTGTTCCCGCCGTGAAGGGCCGTGGTGTCCACGCTGATAAAGCCCCTGGCCGTGCAGCTCCCGGCCAGCCAGCCCCCGTAGCCCTGGGCCGTTCCTCGCTGTCCCTCAGACCCACTGGCCCAGGGGGACGCGACTCCCCCTCCAAGCTCTCAGCAGTTTTGGGGGTGCCAGGCTCCAACAGGCCCGCCCTCGAGCCCCTGTACCGGGCCGTCCGCTCACGTGAGCATGGAGGCAGCGGGTGCAGACGCAGGGGGACCGCAGGGGTCTGCTGGGCACAGGTGGAGGCGTGGCCTGGCCCCACGGAGGGAAGACATCCAGCCCGGGGGTGGGGACGCCTCCACTTTGCCCGTCCCTGCTCGGGGACACCGGGCGGCTTGTGTATCCCCCGGGTCAAACGGGCCCAAGCTCCCTTGTGAAAGGTCCTCTCTTGTGGACCTGCCGCTTGGAGTCCCTGAAAATGCCCCAGGTGTCCCAGAGTCCGGGACCCCGGTCCAGGCCCTTCTGACTGCCGGGCGCCCTGCAGGGAGGGGGGCCAGGAGGAGTGAGCGAGCACCCCAGCAGCCGCGGTCGTGCCCCCGGGGGAAGACGGTCCCCGACCCCGGGCTCTGCGCGCTGACTGAGCACTTCTCTCCTCCCTAGACTAAAATTCACGGGGTTGGATTTGTAAAAATCCACGCGCCCTGGAACGTGCTGTGCAGAGAAGCCGAGTTTTTGAAACTGAAGATGCCGACGAAGAAGGTTGGTGCTGACGTTCCTGCCCCGAGGTCTGAGTGTCGCAGGGGCACATGGCGGGGGAAATGCCACCCGGGGGGCGGTCGGGATGGGAGGGTTCCTCGGCTGTGGTGAGAAGCCGAGCGAGGGCCGTGGGCTCCCGTGTCCTGACTGTGGGGGGTGTGGGGCGGCCCCCGGGGGGCCCTTTAGAGACCCCGGACCAAACCCCAGCAAGAGATTGGCGTGAGCAGAGGGGTCAGAGGAACCTGCTATAAACACAAACACAGGCTTCTCAGTCTTGCTTTTCCCGCTTGCGGTGTTTCGGCTAATTCATCAGACTCCTGTCATCTCTAAAAACTTCCGGCCGGGAATCGGCCTGACAGCGTGTTCCTGAAGCTTAGCGAGGCGTCCCTGTTTACCTTCGCGAGCAGAGAGGGAGGCAGGAAGCGAAGCTGTCCTCGGGCGTAAATGAGCCCCCGGCTTCTCGGGTCCACTGAGACCGTCTGGATTACCTCTTTTGAAATGAAGGAAAGTCCACAGGCAGGTTTTCTGGAGGGTGTGTGCTTTCGGGGCTCTCCTCGGACTCCGCCGGGCTCGCTGGGTTTGTCCGGAAAGCAGGCGCGGAGGGAGCCTTCTGGTCCATCCCGGAGCTCTGTTCCCAGGACCTGCCATCTCGGTGGAGAGGGACAGTTCTGTGACCTTCTGAGAACAGACTGCGAGGGTCACGAGACTCCCCCCTTCCCGGTCTGCTCTGCAGCTGTATCACATTAACGAGACCCGTGGCCTCCTGAAAAAGATCAACTCCGTGCTCCAGAAAATCACGGACCCCATCCAGCCCAAGGTGGCAGGGCACAGACCCCAGACCACAAAGAGACTGTCCTACCCCTTCTCCCGGGAGAAGCAGCACCTGTAAGTGGGGAAACACCCCTCCCCCTGCCCGCTCATCCCTTCCCAGAGGGCCCTGCCGGGTGGCCCCCGCAGCATGGTGGGTGACCTGAAAGGTGCAGGTTGTAGGACAGTCCCCTGGGGCCGAAGGAAGCTCCCCATCACCCAAGGATGTGGGAGTTTCGGCCCCAGAAGCACGTCCTCATAAGAGCCTATGGTTCTTGAGCACAGAAGAGGTTCAAGAGTGCTTTCCAAGGTCACCGTCCATGGAGGAGGTGTGAGGCGAAGAGTCTTGTCCTTCTGCCGGGGGACACTTAGGAAAAATCGGGTGGGCTCGAGTGAGAGCATGCTTGCACCTTGGCCCGAAGCCCCAAAGCGGTGATCTGGGCACCTCCTCCCTCCCGCCCCGCTCCGTCCCTCTCCGTCCCTCTCGGGACGTGTTCCAGTGGGAGGGTCCTGTTGACCGTGCCTCCCGAAGGCTGCCGAGCTCCATCCGGGAGGCAGGAGCTGAAAAGCAGCCCCAGCTGGAGTCCTGACGCCCCAGGGACTCGCGGCCAGCAGGCTTGCCTGGCACCTGTTCTGGAACCTTCCCTCCTACTCGGCTCCCGAGGGGCAGTGGGGCGTAGCCCCCTGGGTCGCTGGTGGCTGCGGCTTCCGTGGGGCCTCGCAGGACACAGCTGGAGTGTGAGCAGTGGTGGGAACAGAGAGGGCTCGGGCTCTGGGCCCAGTGGGACGTGGATTTCAAGCTCGGGGCGGGGGCGGGGGCGTCACCAAGATGCCACTGGTCTCCTGGGGCGTGGAGAACTGTTTCTCAGTTCAGAACTGGGGCTCCTGCTCGGGCAGATGTATTAGTCACAGGGCAAGGACCACGTGCTGCACTCCGCTGTATTTCTCGATCCTGCCAGGGATAGGAAGTTTTTAAAAAGTGGCCCCCAGCCCAGCTCTTTCCAGGAGGGGGGCTCCAGGACGGGGGCGCCCCGGGTTTTGAGGGAGATGCCCTCCTCCTAGGACCCCACCCCCACCCCACGCCCCAGCCTCCCTCGGCTCTGCCCTGGCTGACACCCTTGGCCAAGCCCAGCTTGCTTGCAGGCTCCATGGGGACAAAGCCACCCTCCCCGGCTGTACCCTGAGTGCCTTGGGGAGTGGGTAACACATCCCAGAGACGTCGCTCTGCCCTCAGGAGACTTCAGGAAAGCTCTGTGGGGGCCAAGACCTCAGGGCTAAAACCATTTGTAAAGAACAGGGAGACTGCCATAGATCTTGTCTGACGGTGGGTTGGCATCATCGGTTGAAGCAGAGACTGGGGGTGTCGTCAGAAGGAAGCAGATCCTTAGGAGGGAGGCGTGGGTGTGCGGGCCTCCCGGAGGGGGGCAGAGGGACGAAACGGACCGTTCCAGACGCCCAGGGCTGGCTCACCCCTGGCGTTCAGAAGGGAGCTTGCCCAATTTCACGGTCACGGCTCCTGGGGACGGCGTGGCCTCCCAGGGCCTTGGAAACCGAGAGAGCCGCGACCCCAGCGAACTGTGTGTCTGTTTCTGCCCAACGTTTCAACAGATTTGACCTGTCTGACAAGGATTCCTTTTTCGACAGCAAAACCCGGAGCACGATAGTAAGTATTGCCGTGGGAACCACTGGCTCACCAGCAGGGGGGCCCCGGGGACACACGGGTGATGATTCCATTTCGGCAGAACGCCTCGGGTGGAGGGCCGCTCTAATTGCCTGCGACAGCAATAATTAGAATAATGAGACGGAGAGGCCTCAGGGGCCCAGGGGGAGCCCCCGCCCCTCCTCGGGAGGAGGAGAGCCTCTAGACCCCTCGGCGTCTCTCCCCCGCCTCCCTGCCCTTGCCCTTAGTGGAGATCGTGGGGCCCCAGGCCCGGAGCGTTCCAGGCAGGCAGTCCCAGCAGGAGCGATGGGGGGCGGGGGGCAAAGCTGTGTGGGCCGGGGTAGATTGCGGGGGCTGTGCCAGAGGAATGCACTGGAGTTGGAGATCTGACCAGGCCACCCTGCCCTCTTCAAGGTATCGGTTTAATGTTTATGCATCAGCCACCGGCTTGTCTGCCAGCCAGGCTGGGCCACGCGCGGCTCAGGACCCGACTTTCCTCTACACCAGAAATGAACCTCGCAGCCAGGCCACCGCCGCTGCCTCCCCTGCCCAGAAAGCCCAGCCTGGAGGGAAGACGTGCAGGGCTGGGGGGCGGGGGGAGCAGCCATTGGCCTTGAACAGATAACTGCCCCTCGCGGCCGCGTCCCCCGGCCGGCAGGTGGCCGGGTGCGGGACAGCGGTGCCGGTCGCGTTGGCGAGGGGGCTCGGGAAGGCAGATCTGGGTGCCATCCGCCCTCGGTCCCCTCCGAGCCTCGTGACCTCAGGAGACACCGAGCCTGCGTCAGAACGAGGATGATTCTGGCTTCCTGCTCGAAGGGCGGTGGTTCACCTCCACGCGGGGTGACCTGGGCACAGCGTGATTTTCACTCAGCGTGTTACTGATTGATCCTGGCAATGAAGTCTCATTACAATAAACGAGAAGGAACTCGTTTATGCAGGAATATCGGCCCTCTGGCGTAGCTGGGGGCCGCCAGGTAGCCATCAGGGGTGCATCTCCCTCCGACTTCGAGCACAGGAGAGGAGGAGGACCAGCCACGGTTCTTTGCCACCATGAAATGGGCAAGAGTCGGGACGGCCAGCTAGGGAGACTGAGTCACGTGTCGGCTTCAGTATGTGCGCGTGCCCCCGCTTTTTGCATGATCTGGGGTTGCCAGGATGCCCCCAGAAGTACAGGGCAGCGTGCAAATTCGTGAATTCACACTGCTGAGGAAGGGGGAACATAGGTGAACGGAGAGCTCTAGACCCCATCTCATTAGGGGTCTCCGTAATAGAGCTCCGCCCCTGACCCCCAGGTCCATTTTACCTCCGGGCTGGGGGGGGCCTCTCCCAGAGACCTCGAAGGCCAGGTTGTAAACCGCCAGCCCCCAGAGAAACTGGCCGTCCGGAACTTTGCCCTTGGTTAGTCCGGCCCCATGGTCTTTGAGACCTGACAGTCTCCGGCGTTGGGGGAAGGTCATTCTAGGCAAAGGTACGGCGGTCAACAGCCCCTCCCGTGCTCCTGGCATCAGGGTCGCCCAGTGTGCACGTGGGTAGGAGTCAGGATCAGCAGGAAGGGCCGGACGTGTCGATCTTGGGACTCGGGCTTTCAGCCTCTGGCACTAGGGAGCCACAGAAGGCTGCAGAGCAAGGTTTGGGTTGTGATCAGGTCTGTCCTTAGAAAGATGACAGCCAGTGGAGGTGGATGTGGTTATGAGGGGGGCCGTGACCCCGGATGAATGGGGAGGAGGTACTTAGGGGAGAATCGGCGAGGTCAGGACGGGGCCACCAGCTAGATTCGGGAGGTGACAGGGAGGGGGCCACCTGACTGAGTGGTTTGTTCATGTATCCATGGGCGGTTGTGGGAGCACCTGGTGTGTGCCCAGCACCGGCGGGAGGAGCGAGGCGACAGGCACCTCTTTGGCAGGTGGTAGGGAGCACCCCGGGACAAGAGCAGAGTGAGGAGGCAGAGCAACAGAGTGGCAATTGCCCCGTAGCCTCAGGTCTCCGGCCACAAGTGCTTCTGGCAGAAGGAACAGTGACAGCGAAGGGCCTGGGCCTCGGGAGAGGGTTTGCTGAGGCCAGGTTGCTGGGTCGGGGCTGGGACAGGTGGGGACGCAGGACAGGGGTGAACGGAGCAGGGCCTGGGGGCGGCCGGCAGCCGTGGGAGAGCCCTGTGCGCCCCCTGCTCTCACTTCTGTGGCCTCGGGCCAGTCATTTCAGCCCATTTTGCAGGTGGGGAAACTAAGGCACAGGGTGGTGAGGTAGCTTGCCCTTCACATCTACACGTGAAGCCAGGCCCAGACCCGGGCAGGCTCCCAAGCCTGGGCTCTCGAGGCCACCGGGTGAAACCTTTCATTAGTGAAGACGGCCCAGAGCTGGTGCGGGACCTCCAGGCGGCCGCCGCCAGGCACCCCACGCCCTGCTGCCACGTGACGCACGGTGGCATGGAACCCCGAGACCTGCCCCCGCCTCAGGCTTCTAGAAGATCCAGGGCTACACCCGGGAGGGGCGCTGTTGCTTGGGTCCCTGTGGCTCTGAATGCCAACTCCCTTCCCAGCCCAAAGGGAGGACGGCCCGTCCCCCAGGGCGCCGGGGACAACCCTCAACCCTGAACAGCACCACACAGCCGGTGCCTCCATGGAGGGAAGCGTGACACGGGACCCCTCGGTCACACGCATCCCTGAGAACGCCATGCCCTTGGCCCTGTTCTTGTGCACCCTCACGAAGCCTGCCGTCTGTCCTCAGAGAGCGGTGGGGGGTCGTTCCCCGTAATGCTCGGCCACGTCCCTCTTGAGCCACCGCCTGGCAGGTTCTGCGTGCCATTGCCGCCTGGATAACCGTCTGCCCCTCCCTCTTGTCTCCACAACAGGTCTATGAAATCCTGAAAAGAACGACATGTACCAAGGCCAAGTACAGCATGGGTGAGGACATTGCTGGGGCCGGAGCTCAGCGCTCCCCTCCCCGGGCTAATCTGGCCTCCCTCGTCTCCGTGGGGGGCGGGCTGCCGGTTTGGGGGTTTTGAGTGTGTTTTGGTTTCAGCTGGTCTAACCGTTTCCGACGGGTGGGCCGCTCTGGGACCGTGGGGCCGTTTTACGGCCCGGTGCTCAGGATGCCTTCTCTCTGCTCGAGGCTTCTGTGGTGCCGTTCGGAGCCTCCCGCTGGCCTCCGGACGCGACAGGGGTGACCGAGGCCCTGTCCCCTGCCGTTGACCTTCACGGTCCAGCAGGAAGTAGGGTTCCAGCAGGGGGCGGAAGGCACCCCACCAGGGACCCGCATGGCCCCACACCAAGCCTCGCCGGAAGGCGCGTGCTTGACACACGCCCCAGGTTCTGAACCTGCCACAGAACCAGCCCGGCTGGGCGCCTCAGGTGCCGGTTTATAGGACACCTCAAGCCACAGATGCAGACGTTTCCCGACCGAGGTGTGCAGAGTTGAACCCCCGGCCCCACCCAGCGCAGGCCCCATGCTCGCAGCGGCAGGCTGAGGTCCCCAGAATGAGAGACTTGGAGCCAAGGAACGTCCTTGCCTAGTGCTCCCCCTTCTCCTTAAGCTCTCCTTCGCCCCGCTGAGAGCTGTGTGCACAACGCCCTCCAGGGGTACAGGGCGGTGCTGGCTGGCACAGAGCCTGTGGCAGGACGGGGAACGCTCGCACGCGTGGCTTCCCGCAGAGGGGAGAGTACCGCCGGAAGCAAGCGGAGAGCAGGAGTGTGGGGGCTTGCTGGGGGACGGCCCAGGATGCAGGGAGGGGAGGCTGGACCCTCTGGAGTCAGAGGGAGGGGAAGCTGGACCCTCTGGAGTCAGAGGGAGGGGAGGCTGGACCCTTTGGAGTCAGAGGGAGGGGAGGCTGGACCCTCGGGGGTCAGAGGGAGGGGAGGCTGTGCCCTCTGGAGTCAGAGGGAGGGGGGGCTGGGCCCTACGGAGTCAGAGGGAGGGGAGGCTGGACCCTCTGGGCTGACGTGTCCTGCTGGGATGCCCGATGGCCAGTCACAGGGACTCCTTCTGGGCCTGGAGTCTCTAAGCCCGTGTCCTAAGTCCGTGGGAGCGGGGGCCCCTTCGCGGGTCAAGGAGGAGCCCAGGAGACCTGTCCCCGGAGGCCCAGCCCACCTCAGGGGGAACAGGAGCTTCCAGGGTGGCCCAGGTCACCAAAAATGGGAGAAAGTGTGGCTGCCGTCCCTGCATTGTGTCCCAGACCTCAGTCTGCCTGTCGGGTCCCTTCCAGGACAAACCTGCGTGGTTGCTACGAAGGTCTGTAAGCGGTCCCGGGTCTGGGGGCTTCTCAGCTGGAGTTGATCTCTGTTCTGGGTCTTCCCCCGGGTGGACGTCTGAGTGTTCCTGTCGGTTCTCTGGCAAACCCGGTGCCAGAGCAGATGGGTGAGGGGTCCCTGCTGCACCCCGTTTCACCTCGGTCCCTTGTCTGAAAGCCCTGCCGACCTCCGAGGTCACACATTCACCTTGCAGCGAGTACTGATGGGTTCTGTTGCCCTCGGGGGATTTACATTCTGGGGGACGAAATAGATAATAATCAGAAAAGCTAGAACATCGTCTTGCTGCGGTCGGAAGGGATGCCAGGAGAATTTAGGACCAATGACCAGAAAGGCCTTTCTGATGAGGGGACATCTGAGCAGAGATCTGAAGAAAATGAGGGGTCCAGACAGAGGGAGCAGTCTGTGCAAAGGCCCTGTGGCAACGCCACGTCGAGAGTGTTCTAGGAACAGTAAGGAGCCTATGAACCTGAATCAGACCCACGTCCACTTTTATTACAGATGAATTCTCACGCAGGTGGGCGTTAGCCGTATGCTTCCGCCTCTCGCTGGCTTGGGTTTCCAAGCACCCCTCAGGTACCCCGAGCATTCCAGATCACTGACCGAAGAGGCGGTCTCTTTTTAAGTGGATTTCAGGAAGACGCTTTCCCACCGTCTTCCCGTGGAGTAGTACAGGATGGGCCGGCCAGGCCACTGCAAACCCTGACCCACTGACCCCCTGCAAAGCCCCTTCGGCCAGGCAGAGGGTTCTGTGACCAGGAAAGGGCTCCTGGAGACTCGTGTGCCGCGCCGGCCCCTGAGGATGTGCGCGAGATCAGAGTTCCGGCTCCCCGTGCGTGCGTGCGTGCGTGGCCGGCTCTGCCTTCCCGTCTCCAGGGGCGGGGCGCCGAATGCACACCTCCGGGCCCTGGGAGGTGCAGGTATGGCGACTCTCGTAACGCGCCCAGAGCAGGGCCTGGGGCAGCCGTCGAGGCCCGGCCACCGCCCCACCGAGCGCTTTCTCCCCCAAATGCAGCTTTGGTCCTTTCAGGCGTTTTCATGTAACTAATAGCCCGATGTACAAACAGGGCAAGGAGAGGGAAGAAAGAAGGACTCTGCCCTTCTAAGTAAGAGGCGAAAATGTAGTAAATACGGTAAGTGCCTCCGCCCCCACGCGGGGCCCACAGGCCTCCCCTCCGGCTTCTCCCAATCAACCTAAAATCTAATTGCAAATTGTATGTGTGTTTCCTGACACCATCAATTTTCCCGTCCGTATTTTTCTCGTGATTCAGCTTTTCTAACCACTTACAATCCACCTTTCTTGTCTGTAGGCTGGCCCTCCAGCAGCTGTGGGTAGTTGGTGGATTGGCACGTTCGGGGAACCTCCTTCCTCCCAGATGGAACTTTCTCTCGGGGTGTTCTCTCTGTCTTCCTAATTCTGCCGATAGAGCATGTTTTTTTTTTAAATTTTTTTTTCAACATTTATTTATTTTGGGGACAGAGAGAGACAGAGCATGAACGGGGGAGGGGCAGAGAGAGAGGGAGACACAGAATCGGAAACAGGCTCCAGGCTCCGAGCCATCAGCCCAGAGCCCGACGCGGGGCTCGAACTCACGGACCGCGAGATCGTGACCTGGCTGAAGTCGGACGCTCAACCGACTGCGCCACCCAGGCGCCCCCGATAGAGCATGTTTTTCACCGTCTCCTGGTCGAACCCGGGGAGGAAACGCAGAAGGGCGGCCTGGCTCTGGGCCGCCAGGTGCAGTGGGCTTTGAGAAAATTCTCGGCGACTGAGTCAGTCCTGGGACTGTTCTGTTTGCAAAGAGAGAAGCAGGAGACAGACCTGGTCCCTAATCCTCGCTCTGCCTTTGTCTTTAAGGTATCACCAGCCTGCTGGCCAATGGCGTTTACTCGGCCGCCTACCCCCTGCACGATGTAAGTAACCTTGACGGAGTTTGCCCCTGCGTCATTGGCCGCCCCGAATCCCCGCGGGCCACACCCCCGGGGAGCTCTAATTATCCTGCGGTCTTGGCTTCCTGCTTTGGCTCTCCTGTAAATGTCAGCGGCACGCAGCCCTTCCCTGCTCCCCCGGTGGGGGCCCTGCTGTTATACCCCCCGAGCATCTCTTCTTGCAGAACGAGCCCCCCGAGGCAGGGGCGTTTGTGGCCGACACCCTGTCCCAGTGGCCGGCTGGTCCTTGAGATGCTGCCCCTGCCTGGGTCTCCCCGGCCACCCCGCCCCTGCTCTGGCAGAACGACCCGGGCTCTGTGTGTGTCTGTTTCTGCAGAGCAAGTGGCCAGCTTCCTGAGCTGGATCTCCAAATCCCTCCGGTATCCCCCGACAAATATAGCCCATGGCCACGGCCGTGCATTGGCTTGGCTGGAGAGGGATGAGTCTCTTCTTGTTGTCTCTATGGAGACCGGGGCTAGGGTTCAGCAGGGTACTGGGAATGCACCGTGGGGCCCCAGCAGTGTGGGAACCCCGGACAGAGGGCCTCTGGAACTTTCCAGACGTGCGTGGCTACGAGGACTGGGGGCCTCGAGGCGGGAGCCGGACAGGGAGGCGGGGCCCCCAGAGTCTCGTCCTGGCCGCTCTCTTCCGCAGCCCTGAGCGGAGGCGGCCCCCGTCCTCTCGCTGAGCCTCAGTGTCCCCATCTGCAAGTGGGAGTGGTTCCCAGCAGTGTCAGAGGGAACACAGAAGCGGAAGGGCTTCCAGTGAAACGCTGGATCGGAGAAAACCAATCTCCGCGACAGCAAAGGGCCGCCCCTCCCCCCCCCCGCCCTGCCTGACGGCTGCCGCCAAGAGGCACACAGCTGCCAGCCTCGCGTCACTCCCTGTGGGGAGGTGGGGTCACCTGAGCCGCTTTGTGCCTTCGGGGATGCCGTCCCTTCTGTCTGCAAGCTCTTCCTCGGCAGCCGCCCTCCCCGGGACAGACCATCCACCCAAAGCCTTCCTTCACCCCTCCTCCTGCCCCTGCCCCTGCCCCGTTGATGTCTCCCTGCTTCCCCCCATCCCCCTGGCTTCCAATGCTCCCCGTCCCACAGAGACACCGCCGTCTGCCTGCTGGTCCTCGCCCACGGGTCTCAGGACAGGCGCAGCACTCGGCACGTAGGTGCTCACCGAGCGCCGTGCTGATTTGGGTCGCATGGGTCGGTTGCCTTGGCCGGCGACCTGTTGCGTGTTTCAAGGGCAGGGCTCAGACCTCCCGGGTCCTGGCCGGTGGTCCTGGCTGAGGGGCCTCGATCACCGTCCTCGTCAGTGGGTGCTCACCCCGCTGGCTCCCGGAATACGGTCCCGCCCCGCAGCCCTGCGCCAGTTCACAAACTGCTGGGCCCTTGATCTCACCCCTGCTGAGATGCCAGGGCCTGTTCTGGGCCATCCAGACCTGTTTGGAGTCAGCCCTCTAAGGCTTGAAAGGGAAAGGGGAGACATCAACATTTCTGAGCGCCCGTTGTACGCAGAGAGCTGTGTTTAGTGGGAGCTCTGTCTCCTTTAATCTGGTGCAGACGTGGAGACTCGGGCTTAATGACGTGGTCCGGATCGCAACAGCTTCTGCGGGGGGAGCTGGGCCCAACGTTGAACCTCACACGGCAGTGGGGAGGCCCTCCGTGGGGGGCCCGCTCCCGCTTTACAGACGGGAAAACTGAGGCTACAGCTGCCCAAGCAGCTTGTCCAGGGGCACACAGCCTCCAGCTCTACCTCCGGGGTTCTTTCCAGCCGGAGTAAGGACTCTGGGCGTCTTGAGGGACTACAGAATTTTACAGCCATGAATTTTCCCCACAACTGAAGGGCACCCACCCCCGTAGGTACCACAGCTGATGTTGGAACGTTTGGGGACATAAGTCACTCTGAACTGGTCCAAACGTACCCCGCATGCTCAAGCAGGGGGTGGGACCGTGAAGCCACACACCCAGGCTCAGGTGCCCGGCTCTTGCTGAGTGGTCCTTGCTGGGTGGTCCTTGCTCCAACTCCGCCGTCGTCCTGCGTCACGGCTTGCTGCCCTCGGTGCGTTGCCCGCGGCATCGCCACCCCCTTGCAGGGCCTCGTTTACTGTGCTCATTCGTTCATCCGGTCATTCATTCCGCAAGAATACCCATCAGGCAAGGCGCTGGATGCCATGGCAACCAGAGAGCCACTGTGAGGATGGTGTGTGGAGTAGGGGTCTGCCCTGAGCGAGACCCTAAGGAGGGCTCCTGGAATTCGTGCATCAAATACAGGGACAGGACTAACATTTCAGGTGGCGGCTTGGCGGCCTCCCTCCTGGTTGGCACCTGTCACCCTCGAGGTCCCGAATAGATGAGATGCTGCTGGAGTGTGTGGCTGTCTGGGCCATGGAGAGAAACACCCAGAAAGCCTCCGGGGTTGGGCTGGGGCGGGGGAGGGTGCGCTGAAGACTCAGGGGGAAACATTAATGACACTGGTCTCAGGGCACCTCTGTTCAGAGCGTGAGGCCAAGTGCTCCCTGCCTGGAGGGGCGGGAGGGTCATAGAAGGATCTGGTGAGTGCAGCAGGTACCCGGCAGACCTCCGGGAGGCCTCAGAGCTTCCTCCCGGCCATCTTCAAGTCCGCTTGGCCAGGCCGGCCCCGCGGGGGGCCATGCTCCCTCTGCTGCTTCCCCTGAGTCCCTGGTTCCAGCTGTTGATATGCTGGGCAGGCTTCTGACTTTCAGGTCCTCCCTCCCTTGCGTTGGATTTAAAGACTCGGAACCGGGTCCCAGCTTAGCAGTCTGTCCCGGAAAAGTCACCTTGCTTCTCTGAGCCTCAGCGTTACCAGTGTGAAATGCGAGTGTGGGGCTCACTGATCTGTCTTCAGTGACCTTATAGCTTCCTGTCCTCCCAGCACCTGCAAGGCAAGGCACTGGGACTGTCCCGCCAGCCCCCCCCCCCCCCTCCAACGGCCACGCAAAGCCCCTTTCTTGCATGCTGCTGGTTCCTAGCAAGTGGCCCTGGGTCCTTTCCGGGACGTGGCCTCTGTGATCGGGGGCGAGGGCAGGAGGGCTGCCCGGAGGAGGTGCTGGGCCAGGCCAGCCTCCCTCTCCTGTGATGCGCCGTCTGGCCTTCGCATTTGGATGCGGATTTGCGCTACTCGAAAGCTGCATCCGGTGGCGAGAGTTCTCTTTCCTCCTTTTGAACAGGGAGACTACGAAGGTGAAAACGTGGAGTTCAACGACAGAAAAGTAAGTGGACGTGGAGCGGAGGCCGTGCTGCTCGGCCCTGGGGGCCCCGGGTGGGGCGGGGCTGCTCCGAGGCCCCTGCGGGAGCCCCCACGCCTGGGGGGAAGGCGCTGAACCCTGCCCGCTGCCTTGCTCCCCTCTCGCTGATGCTGACAAGTGTCCGGGGCGCGTTGCGGGGGTTGCATAAAGGCAAGGGTGTGCTGTTCCACCTGGAACACCTTCCCCGCGGGCCCCCAAACCTGTATCTCACCCGGGTGTTCAGTCTGCCGCGCTCCCTGCGGACGCTGGGCCTGATCCCGCACGGCTCCTGGGTGAGGAAGTTTGGGCCCCACTGTGGCCAGGCCCCCTCCGCACACCGACGAGTCTGGTGGACGCGTTCAGCCGGTGTTTCTCAAACTTATTCGGCCTGGAAGCCTTTCTCATGGAAAAGTTACTGTTCCTGGGGTTATACGTCGGGAGACACGGAGTATTCTTTTTATTCTTCAGTGTTCTCCCTGCCGCTCCCAGCCCAGGCTCCCTGCTTCCCCCCCACCACCACCCCGCCCCCCCCTTTCTCTTCCATCCCCCATGCTCCGGAAGGTTCTTCCCAGACGTCCAGCGCCCAAACCCGTGTTTGCCTGGCGTCCAGCCTCCTCCCCGTGTCCACCGCAGCCCCTCCTGGTTCCCAACCAAATGCAAACTTCGTTCACCTCGGGGAACAGTCCTCGCCGGACCTGTGTTTGTCCCCCAAGAGCAGATCCTTCCGGAGGCAGTGGGTGGAGATACTTCCCTGAGAACCTCACAATGGTGGCCTTGTCCCAAGTCTCGGGCTGGGAACCTCTGTGCGAGGAATGTTCTCCATTCCTGCCTCCCTCCAGCCCCCCGTACATGTTTTTAAACCTTTGGTACTGGATACAACTTGCCCGCCCGGGAATCCAGCTGAAGATGCTATCTGATTTAGCTCAAAAATTACATATTTGGTTATTTTTAGTGGGACATCTGGCATTTGTCTGTGACCCTCCCCCATTCGATCCCGTTGGAGAAGCGCCGTCCCCTCCCCAGGCCTGCCTGGGCCAGCTCTGGCCTCAGAATCCACCCCCCTTCATCTTTTTGTGCCCCTGGGTCGCTTGTCTGATGCCCTTTCTCCACCTAGGGAAGCTTCCTCCTTGGGCCCCGGGGACCCCCTTCAGGCCCAATTCAGTCCTCCTGTGGCTTCTCCCCACTGCCTCCCTGTGCACCAGCCACGCTGGCCACCTCGCTAATCTGAGACTCCGCAGCCTGTGGCCACCTGGCACCAAAAGTGTCTCGTTCAGTTACCTACTCGGGAGCTACTTGGCATCACTGGGCACCAGGCCCAGCAAATACGATTCCAGGTTTGTTCAGCTCTACCTGTTCCTTCTGCTTAGAATGCTGGCCACCCTCCACTCCCCTCGCCCCCACTGAATTTAGTGTCCCAGCAGTGAGTACCAGGCCCGGCCCATGGGGGTAGTCTGGGAGTATTGGATGGACGGATGATGGGTGGATGGGGGGGGGGGGTG